GTTTTTCTCCGGTACCGGGAACCGAACTCACGACCTTGCGCTTGCCAGGCAGGCGCTTTTGCCGCTGAGCTAAATCCCCAGCCCCTGGGTACCCTTTCTTTGGGTCCAAGTCAGGGAGTTGTATTATTTGTTGGTCTGGTAGGTTTAATAAGCTCCAGGCCTGGTTTTCTCTGATGTGGCCTTAATATGTCATGTAGTATCCGTATCTCTGATTTAATTTGTTATGTTTATACGTAGTAATTTTTATTACCATTATTAATTTCTTGGTTTGTCCCTATGATTATGTTGTGTTGTTGGGGAGTGTTCTTTCAATAAGTTTCGTGTGTCCAATACCTAGGGATTGTCTATTTGCACAGATGTGTTACCAAGTCATTGTGTCTCAGCATTTGCATTCAAAATGGAGCTGGTGATTAAATATTAGAAGTTTGACTCCAAGCTACCTTTGCAACATTATATGTGTACCTTAGTTTTTGTTCCTCAATGAAAAGGGGCAAGGTGAGGTCGTTCTACTGCTTCTGCTTTTCGTACTCCTCTTTTTCTCAGTACCAGAATTGATCCTACCAATGAGCCAAATCCCCAACCGTTTTGTTTTTTTATGAGATGGTGTCTCACCGGGTTGCCCAGGCTGGGCTTAAACTTGTGATCTTCTGTCTCAGTCTTCTGAGTAGCTGAGATTATAGGCATGTACCACTGTGCCTGGTAGAGCTTTTACTTTTAATAGGGGTAGTATGTTATTTTCTGTTTCCTTGATAACTGCAGTGAAGGAACAGAATAGGACCAAAGGCAAATACTGAAATAGGAAATTTGTCAATCTTTATTGTACTACGTCCATTAGAGTAATGTTTAGTCTGCCTTAGCTGCTCTTACGAGGTTTTAGTACCGTCCTTTCTTTTTCTAAACTGTTCTTAATTTATAGAAGGCGGGTTTTCCTAAGGATTCACCTAGGTACCCAAGTTTGTGATATGCCTGCCTTTTGATGATCTATAATTTTCTTGTGAACTTGTTTGTCAAATTAGTATAACTTGATATTACCCCTAGGTTCCCATCATCATTTCACTATTTTTTGTTTCATTTTGTTTTATAATGTTCCTCTTTATATATCAACTAAATTTCTTGGTTTGGGAAAACTATGTAATATATTAACAAAAACAGCTTTTGGAAATTTTTAGTCTGATAGTCTGATAGTTATGTTTTACTCTTTTTCAGACACATTCTTGTCATTATGGATCAGTTTGGAGATATGTCAGATGGTGAAGTGGACCATTCTTTTTTCGATAGTGACTTTGAAGAAGCAAAGAAATGTGAAAATAACTTAGTTTTTGACAAGCAAAATGATGACCCTAAAGAGAGAATAGATAAAGATACAGAAAATGTGAATGTGACATTTGGAATACAAACAAAGGAAAATTATCTTACTGACAAGGGAAATGAAAGAAACATGAAAAATCTTCTAGACGAATACCCTGTAGAGAACGATACAGAAACCAGAAGTTCTTTATCACTGACCGAAAATTCAAGATCAAAAGAATTGTGTAGTGCTACAACAGGACATAAAATAGAGTTGCCCATTCCAAATAGAACTCCCAAAATTGTAAAAGAAGGTGAGGATGATTACTACACGGATGGAGAGGAAAGCAGTGATGATGGAAAAAAGCATCATGTGAGGTCCAAGTCAGCAAAAACGTCTCATAACTTTAAAAAAAGCATGAATAAAAAATATTCCAAACTTAGTTCCTCCTCCTCTTCTTTGTCTTCCTCATCTTCAAGTTTAGGTACAGACTGTTCAGATGCAGGACCTGATTTCTCTAAATCTCATTCACGTCCATCGTCAAGGAAACATACAATAACCCTCTTATCACCAAGACAAAAATATAAATCGGGAACAAAATCAGCAGGACCACAACCTTCAAGTACTAAGGCAAAAATTGGGGACTATACCGAGGAATCTGAAGATACTGTGACAGATGTGACTCCTTTATCAACTCCAGACATCAGCCCTGTTCAGTCTTTTGAACTAGGCATATCAAATGACCAAAAAGTAAAGGTTAAAAGGCAGGAAAATGTGAGTCAAGGAATATATGAAGATGTTGAGGCTTTAAAAAATGGCTCAAAATGCTTGAAAGCAGCCAAGAAAGGGAAGGAAAAACATGGATCTAGTCTCACCCCAAAGTCACCAGTATTAGATTCCAGTTCAGACCACAGATGTAAGCAAAAGGTCTTACATGACACAATGGATCTGAATCATCTTTTAAAAGGTAATTTACTTTTCTTTTTAAAATTTGTATGTCTGCCAGGTGTGATGGCGCATGCCTTTTCATCCCAGCACTTGGGAGGCTGAGGCAGGAGGATCACAGAGTTCAAGGTCAGCCTGAACTAAACAGATCTTATTTCAAAAAAAAAATTTTTGTGTATTAAATTTAAATGTTAGGTTATCAAATGCTATGAATTGGCACAGAATTTTCTAGTAGATACCTTTTATTGTTTGAGATATTTTGGTAACTTTGCCAAATATTCCACTATAAAAATATCTGAAATATTATTTGCATTATTAGGTAAGATACTGTATTTTAAAGCTAAATGGGACAAGAAACTTCATACTTGTTTAGGGCCTTGTAGACAAAATGGTTACTTCTCTCTTCTTCCAGCCATAGTGCAGTCTTATACACAGGCTACTAAAAAAAAAAAAAAAA